AGCAGCGCACAGTACCGCGAAAGCTTTCTCCAGCTTTTGGAGATGTTTTCGGTGGTTTAGATATAAGGCCCAGGGCGGATCCAGAATTGTTTCAAGCATTCATAAAAAGTATGCTGATTTTTATACCGGAACCCATCTTATTATGTGCAGCCCTAACACATGGGGCTTATCAATTTTTCCAGGTTATGGTAACTCCTGTTATTTTGAGGCTTATTATTTGAGAAAAAACCATAGCCAAATAAGCTAAAGGTGGATGCTAATATCATCGAATTCAAGTACGATTTTAATGCCTAGTTTATTTAGGGCTAGCCGGCTGGTCGATGTCATGAAGGCTGCTGACCAATGCAGAGTTTTTCCTTTGCTATAAAGGAGTATTATATATGCCAGCATTCAAAATGTATTAAGAACGTGGCGCATACGCATAAAGGTGTCACAAATTCAATAACCGACAGAAATGACACATGGACGCTGCGAGCGTGTAAATTACGTTCGACGATTGCGCGTAAAGATTCATCGACGCATAAATAACTGCTGCGCTAAGATTACGACACCAAAGCCAATAGAGACGGAACCTAAGCGACCGGAGGTGCCGTGGCAGGCCACCAAAGAGGCTTCCGTCGACGAGTGTGGGGTCGTCAGGGCAAGAGAGAAGAACCCAAGACCAATGTAGTGGGCCGCTGGACGATCGGTGGCGCCCCGGCAGGCTGACATACAGGACCCGGCCACAGCACAGGGCTCTCTGAGCAAGGAAAAATTACTCAAGATCAGTATGCATGAATTAATGGCCCTGTTCGATCAAGAGTGCCCAGGCAGGTTAACAGACAGGGTCCTGATAGGGATGAAGGGTCCTCTGCAAACGAGATCAAAGGGAAAGAGCCCTAAATCAATGTGGAGCGCTCCTGAGCATCGAGTGGCTCGGTGCCTTACTTTATATGGAACCCCAGCAACAGCACAAGGCCCTCCGAGCAAGTGGAAAGAACCCGAAACCAATATGAAGAGCCCCTGAGCAGCTCAGTGTGCCCTGGCATATGGGACTCAGAAAAAGCGTATAGAGCCTTTCGGGGAAATGGGAAGAACCTGTGGAAGAAAATCGGATCGGTTAAGAGTGCCCAGGCATGTAAGCAGATAATGCCCCAACAGCAGCGTAGGGCTCTATGAGGAAATGCAGGGAGATGAAATGCAACGTGGAAGGCTCCTTTGCGATCGTGCTGTCCCGGCAAGTAGACATAACAAGTCCCGGAAACAGCGTAAGGCCTCTAAACAGCGTAATGAGGGCCTAAATTTCCCCCAGTCACCGCCCCCTCAATCTGCAAAGAATTAACTTTGTCTGCTCGTGGGCTCTTCATTTTTGCTTGCGACTGTTCCTGGTCGTCTGTGAACTTCAAAGACGTTCAATTTTGTTAAGTTTTGTGTCAGAGAACTGCGTCCGTTCGGCCGATTATGAGCTTTTTCGGAGCCTATGGGTCCTCTCGGGGTACAAGAAGGGGGGCTTGGCATAGTTTCGTGCCCCACCCCCACTGTGTATCCGCCACCGGCCCTGGCAGCTAAATAGTCGGGTCCCGACCAAGAATATAGGGTCATCCCCTCAAATTAGAAGTACTTACGGCACAAATAGACGGTACGGAATGCTCAAGAGTGCCCAAACAGGTTAACAGATGGAGGCCCCAACAAAAGGTTAGGACCCTCTGCTTAATTAAGTAGTACCCACGACTCAAAGTGGAGGGCCCTCGAACGATCGAGTGCACCCGAGCGGGTTAACAGATAGGGCCCCCGACAAGAGCGTAGGGCACTCCATTCAAATAAGAAATACCCGAGACTGAGTGCAGACGGTCCCTGGAAGGTTGAGTGTGCCCGAGCAGGTCATCAAATGACCCCCGACAGGAGCACAGGGCCCTACACTCAAATAAGAAATACCCAAGACCCAGCGTGGAGGACCCCCAAAAGATCGAGTGTACCCAAGCAGGATGTCAGATGGCCTCCGACATGAGCGTGAGGCCTTTCATTGAAATGTCCGACGTGTGCGGCTCCCAAACAATCCAGTGTGCCCGAGCAGATGAACAGATGGAAGGCCCAACAGGTGTGTAGTGCTCTTCATTCAAATAGAATGTACCCAAGACCCAATTTGGAGTACGCTGAACGCCCCGACAAGAGTGTAGCACCCTAAGCAGGTGACAGATAATGGAAGGGCCCTAGGTTAATGAAGAGGGTCCACCATTATATCAGCAAGTGTATCGGTAGGCTAATCGAGACCAACGTGGAGTGCTCCTAAGCAACCGGCAGGTTAGCATATGGGCCATCGGCTATAGCGTACCGAGCCTTTCGGGCGAATGTGAAGGATTTGTAGAAGGCTCCTGGTTGACAGGAGTGCCCGGCACGCCAACAGGAAAGGCCCCGCAGCAGTGCACGGCCCTCCGAACAAATGCACAAAAATCATGGGTAATGTGGAAAGCTTCTTAATGAAAGGATTTTCCATGCAAATGGACATATAGATCCCCGGACACAGTATGAGGCCTCTGGATAGTGAAATGAGTCTTAAAATATTCCAATCATCACCCCCTCGATCAGTGAAAAATATTTTTGTCTACCGGTGGGTCCTCCACTTTTACTTGTGACTGTTTTTGGTCGCATGGAAACCCAAAGACGTCCAGTTTCGCTGCATTTTGTGTAAAAAACCAGATCTGTTCGACCGGTTATAGGGCCCCTTCGGAGCTCATGGGCCTCTTCAGAGCCAAAGTGGGCATGACCCCGAGCACCCCATCCTTCCTGGATCCGGCCCTAATAAGGCCAAACCTTTACACTTTCGCTCCCTTGCGGTCTTCACAATATATGATCTGTTTGCATTATTTGCGTTCTTGCGCGACTCTTCGGCACATGAGAGCATCATGGGAGCTGTTGTAAACCAATGGTATATAGCTCGTGATGTATTTCAGGGATAGTTGTGTCCTGGGAGCAAACAGCGTATTGTCTATATTAACATGATGACTTGATGGTATGCAGTAAATCATTAACTGCATTTGAAGGCCTAGTATGCAGAAATTATTCTGTAAGTGTTCGCCGTTAGTGCCACAAATATCGGAATGCGTCTGACAGGTTTCACACAATTGGTTTAAGGAGACCCAAATGTGCTATTAGAAATGTTGAACTGCGACCAGCTATTGACATTTGATAAAGAGCCCCGCTAGTGAACATGTAAGAGAACCTTCACCGCAGATGGCAACATTTGTGTTCAATACGCATGATAATTTTGACCACCGAGTATTACGCCTCGAACGCTTTCCTGAAGCATCAAGACTTTGCGTAGCCGTTGCACTTTGCTGTACTAGTATAATCACAACTACAATAAGTGTTTAAGTCCTGGACAAAATGGGCTTTATATCATTATGTTATTTATAGCATGGTCTTTACATTCGTCATGACGACCAGTTGGCATAAGACCTGTTCACACCAGTTGACTACGCTCACCTGGTGCGAACAGTATTGCTGCACGACGTCTTCATGTTCTGAAGCCTATAGTAAAGAGCAGTTATGGATGATGTTCTGTGAAGTTCCATGCCCACGAAGATGGCGTTACTAAAAAAAAAAAAAACACGAGCAGCTCTACCGTTTTGTAAATTGTTGCTGGTGGTCTATGCTCATAAACTGGCAAGCAATTATTGTCATGCGCTCGGTACCAACAGTTGGTATCAGTTGCTCACATCCAGGGCAAAGGCGGGGCTCCTCGTCTTCGTTGTGCGCCTTGACTGCTACAAGCTCAGCTCGGTGGTCCCCAAATCGTCGGCGCGTTTCTGCGCTCCGTCAGCTTACGCTCGCAGCTGGTGGCGCAGTGGTGACGGCGGGAGGGGAGGGAGAGGTCCCGCATGTGCCTGTGTCAATGCGGGTGGTGACGCCGCGCGGAGGGTCTGGCTCCGAAGGCCTCCACAGGTGCGCGCTGTACAGATATGAGCAAAGGCCGCCAGCGCGCGCCACTCTGCAGACGTCAGACACACTCCGTGTGCAGGTGGAAATCATCGCTCTGGGCGACAATTCACCTTCCACGCGGTACGTCGGGCCGCACTTGCCCGCAGACCGAGGCGGCCGAAGAACCGGCCGTGGCAGCTCTCGCTCCGTGAATGTTTCCTCTCGGGGGCGATACGATTATTTGCGAACAGGTGTTGCTTGCAGTGTCGATGCAAGTGCGTGCGTGCGCGCGTGTGCCGTGCAGGGTGTGTGCCGCTGTGGGTGGGTGCCGCGCAGCCGACCGGCGTCGACTGCGTCGGCCCGAGGTAGGGTGGCGGGCGTGAGGGCGGAACTACGCCTCGAATCTCGCGCTACGGGAAAGGAGTCACTCTAGACAGGAGGGGTCAAACCAGGTGGCACCACGTTGGGAGTGATCTTGCACCTCATCGCGCTACTATGATACCGATGCCGGTAAGTAGAAGCTGCATTCCAGCCTGGATGCGCCATGCTCATTTGCATTTTACTAGTGGTGTCTGAGCGGTGAGCCACGTGAAATGTGATTTATTGGTACAAAAATCAAGCGGTCGGAAGACAGTATCAGATAGCATGCCAGTGCTCGCATGAGTGTCAGTGCGTTTAAATGGGCAATAGTTCTTCAAGATAGAACAACAAGTTCGCTGAAACGAGATAACATGATTAGTTGAGAACATTGAGCGCGTAGTTTTATTGTTCTGTGCCACGTGCTCGGCGTATTTCAGTGCCTCATAAAGTACTGATGTGGTTTCAGGAAGCCTAAAATAAGCGTGTTATGCGGAATTATGTGTGCTTAAGAACTGAGCTCTTGAACTAGCCAAAGTGGGCATGCTTGTCTCAGAACAAAACTTGGCGAGGCTTCTGCCAGCCTCCATTCCATAACGCCATGAGCACTGGCCCCGGCGCCGTGTGCTGCTGAACTCATCATGCCTCTCACTGATCGGTCCCGGCGCAGCCCCCGCTCGGCAGCGTCGACCTCCGATGGAGGTCTTACCCACGTGACCGATGACCCTGACCTGAGGGCTTCGAGTATGGACAAGGTCGGCGTCTTCCAGCGGGCCATCCGTGGATATGACCCCGTGTTCGCGTACGAGCAGAGCGGTGGATATGGGCACGACAGTGCGTGCGGTGATAACGGCTCGATGCGCGACGGCTGGCGGGTGGAAGACGGTACCACTCGCGTATCCAAGACGCAAAACTTTGCTGGGAACTATTTCCGAGGAATTAGCATGGATGCCACATATAATGAACAGAGCAGAGGCCACTCGCTGGACGGCCGAGAAAAAAGCTTGAAGAGGAGCATGTCGCAGCTCATGCCAACCAAGGCCACTGCATCAAGTTGGAAAGCCAATGCATCCGGTAAAAACCCATCGAGGGTACAGAGGGTGCGCCTTGAGAGACAGCATTCGAACGCAACAAAACGAAACGCTACCAAAGCTGTTAACCGCCCGTTAGTCTCGGAGACCTCCACCAGTGAGAACTTCTCAACGCTGAGTAGCCGAAGCCCAGGCCAAAGTGGTTCGAACCGATCTCGCAAGGGCCAGGGTTCGTCCCATTCTGCCTCTGTCACAGCATCGACTGAAACATCCGAACATAAGCCGCTGGCCGTGTCCGGGCGGCACAGTCCCTTGGACCGACGGCGTGGTGAGCGGGGCAGGGCGTCGTCTCGCTCCACACGGTCCAGGTCCTTCAGCGACAGTGGTTCGGACGTTCGGCCGAAGCATAGCAGACTCATCGGTCTCCAGCGGCACTGGTTCAGGGGTCAGCCGAAGCACAACGGGTTCCCCGGTCTCCAGGCGCAAACGCAAGACATTCTACGCGAAATTAACGCAATTCTGGGCGGACAGGAAAAAGAGAGCACAAAAGGAGTACCGGAGGAAAGAACGGAAGAGGCTGCTGCGGCCAGCCTATGATCACGATAGCTGCAGGCGCCAGAATGAAGAAGTTTGTAGGTATTGCAAAAAAGGCTATCACAATTGTGTTACCCTCAGTGAAAATCATGTGGCTTTGACGTATCACTGGGTGGGTGAGAATAGTGGTGTACGGGTGCCTGATGTAGGTAGAATGACATGGCTCATGTCCCCTTGAGCAGTCATGCACCCTTGCAATTTAATCCCCCCGCCCCTGCTGCCGATCGCACAGCTAGCAAGCTAGGGCTAGCAAGCTCCATGGAAATTACCCTGGCGTCTGGGCTGATTTAGGCGCCATGCCTGGCCACCCCAGTAGCCCATTTGTTGGCGCGTCGGACATCCTAATAGCATGCGGTAAACAAGAGGATGGCGTCCTGAGCTCACCTGTATGTGGATCGTCATTGACAACCAGTTGGCAGCTGGCCAAGAGAGCCAGGCCAAATCACTGGGCAGAAGGGTCTGTTTCTGGTTTCAGACAGCATTCCTCGCCGTGTTGAAATGTTTTGCCACGCATCGGTCGATTCAATGCGGCTGTTCTCAGGGTGCGGTTGTAATTCATGGTTTCACAGAAGGCCATGCCTGGCCAGAGGGCTGGTCCCAAGACGATAACTGCAAAACTGTGTAGTATGTTCGAAAGATCAATGGATGATCTCCTACCGTATTCGAAACGCGTACTTAAACGTAAATAGTCGCATTATCACGCCGCTTGCTGTCCAAACGTCACATCGGCTCCGAAACGTTACCTGCTTAGGCAGTGATGTCATTCTGTGCCAGCGCCTGTCACTAATATCCCAACTAAGAATTGCAGTTGAACCCAAAGTACCGCCGTTTGCCATTACGCACCCCATCTGTTTTGGCGTCTTGAAGGTTTCGGTGCTCGTTTTCCCTTCGAGCCAGAAATTGCTGAACATGGAAGTCAGGTCGACGCATTGATCCTGGCTATGATAATCACGGCCGCTCAGGCAAACCACTGGACGACCTACTCGGTGTCACTGGCCGTCTCGGTGGGGTGCAGATCAGTGCCGCTGTTACAGATCCGCGGCCTGACGCGGGCGGCGCCACTGGGGGACCCGACCGTGGCCGGCCAGTACGGCACCTCAGGTACATACCGGCCGTTCGGTCACCCGCGGCCCTCCGTCTCCAGCGGGACCATGAGCGGCGGCACCCTGGACGGGTCACTGCGATCCACGTCAGGTCAGTCAGGTCACCACGGGTGGCGGCACACTGTCCGGTCACTGCGATCCACGTCAGGTCAGTCAGGTCATCACTGGTGGCGGCACATTGTCCGGTCACTGCGATCCACGTCAGGTCAGTCAGGTCACCACGGGTGGCGGCACATTGTTCGGGTCACTGCGATCCACGTCAGGTCAGTAAGGTCACCACGGGTGGCGGCACATTGTCCGGTCACTGCGATCCACGTCAGGTCAGTCAGGTCACCACGGGTGGCGGCACATTGTTCGGGTCACTGCGATCCACGTCAGGTCAGTAAGGTCACCACTGGTGGCGGCACATTGTCCGGTCACTGCGATCCACGTCAGGTCAGTCAGGTCACCACGGGTGGCGGCACATTGTTCGGGTCACTGCGATCCACGTCAGGTCAGTCAGGTCACCACGGGTGGCTCCACGCTGTCTGAGTCACTGCGCTCTGAGTTAGGTCGGTCAGGTTACCATACATGACGACGTTCTGCTCGGGCCACTGTTTTGAGTCGGGTCATCAAGATACCCTGGGTGGTGGGGCGTCATCCAGCAAAAATACAAAGCCTTGCGCATGATGCATAGTGGTTGTATTAGGCTCGTGCTTATTCTGGCATTGACAAATGAAACTGATCTACAAGCTTTCAGCAGAGAAGGGCGAGTAGTGCCAGCGCTGAGTCCAGTCAAATTGGGCTTATCCTGCAGCCCACTCTACTTATGGTCGAGTCTAGCCCATGGCTGTTCCTAATGCATTCCCTTATTTCTAAAACACCCCGTGCCATTTTTCTGGAACTTTTTTATCAATAACTGCATTGGAACTGCACGAGGCGTCACGGTCCGCTGTTTGTTTCCTGTCTGTGATGTGTTAGAAGGAGCTGGGGTTCAGCAGCGGATTCAGATGTCGGGATCACTGGCCAGATACCTGTCACCCGTGTGCCGGCGCGTACAGGGGAAATTCGGTCCTAACATGTGACGTCATGCGTATGCGGATGTCAGAGCAGAACACATCTGAACGGTCATCGAAAGGCCACGCAAACTGCGAAATGAGTCATATTCGAGATCAGTTAGCGTTATTCACTGGCTCTTTTTTTTGTTCCTTACAGGTTTTATTTACTTCTACTGTCACTGTGAAGGGACCGCATCTGCAGACCGGATAGCTTTATTTGCGATATGTGGCACTGATCCTGACATTGTAGAGGCGGTAACCGAAATAAGATGAGAAAAGCAGTAGCGTTACCATGTGGGCACCTTTTATCGTTTTCACCTCGTCCCAGCTTTCAAAAATATGGTAATGAAAGTGAACTTCAACGTTTAACATAAAGTGAGTAACTGCCAAATAGTTTCATCTATGCTTTTTTCATACATGTCAAACACAGGTGCCCGTGAGATTCTCCCGCCGGCCTTTACTGCGATATGCGTAACAGGGAACTAAGATGTGCGCTCAGTTTTCCACGTACATTTCAGAAGGTTGGATTTTTCCTTTTCCGGAGCTTTTGCCAATGAATTCAATCCTTTATGGGCGGAGGCGGATTCCGTCCTATCAGGTTTTTCACTGGCTTTTCTTCTCCATTGTTACCTTTTCCGGTGTTTATAAAGCATGTATATAAACGCATTGAAGGGATGCGTAAATATTCATTCTAAAACACGCCATCAACTGACTCTCCTTTAGGTCCTTGTCTCTTCTCGTCTGACGTCTTTTGAGTTTCCATGGGAGGCCCGGCCACATCAAATCCAGTTTAGAAAACTATGTGAAATGCGCCACCAATTCGCCACATTGTTAAGTGAAAGAGCTGAGGTGTGCTAAAAATGGTGCCAGGGTCACCCCAGTTGACATAAAGCCTTGAAAACTCCTCGGAATGCTGCAGATCTGGTACCGAGAAACCAGGTCATCGTACATTAAAATCATAAATGTGGGGTCTCCCAGAGCCAAGCTCATGGAAGGTCATGTAGTGAGTTCAGGTGACCTCTCGTTGCTCCTTTGAAGCAACTGGTGAAATAGCTTGGTTTGAATTAGCTTGACTTTTCGGACCTATGCAAGCTACCGAGTTACGGCAAGAAGTAGTTTGACCTCATTTATGATTCAATCCAACCAATTGACCGTGAGAGATAGATGGGCGCAGCCAGAGGCCAGACACTGCCGCGAGATCAATTCTGCCTTAATATATCGCTCATAAACTGAAAGAAATCCTGCGTTAAATGACTGCATTAAATAGATCGCCGGCGATCCTCATTTTACAATGGTCCAGCGGACTCTTTTAAACCGATAGAACTCAGAAACTTTATCAGTATTGTTACCTGGGTTGTACAGAAATAGCAAGGACTCCGCGAATGTAGACTGAAGATTAAAATGAATCAACGATTGGTATTAACATGATCAGGCCATGTTTGTCTGGATATCTTCAAAATTCAGTCGGAATTGATAAGTGGTACAAATTATGTAACGTGGTTTTCAGCATGCGCGCAGGCATACCCAGAAAACGAAAACGCGACGCCAGGCGTTGCAGTCTCCATTGGTCGCGCAGCGTCGGCTCCGCGGCTGATATTAGGTCGTGGTCAACAGACGGACGGAATTAGGGACGCATCTGAAAGAAATACCTTTGCACATTCTTTGACACCAAATCGTACATTTAGAGATATTCTGGGCGTATTTTCACGTGGCTGGCCTTTAGACTGATAACAATAACGTATTGACCTGTACAGCACCGCGAGGTGGTGCTGTAGCCTGGTTGTGGAACTGGAAGAGTAAAGGTAGGTAAAATTTCTAAAGCTATATTTCAGCAAAGATGAGGTAAAATTTCTATGTGACATGCTGCTGTAACCATAAGTCCGTTCAGAGGACAACCTCAAATTTGTAAAAAAGATTCGCTGTGTGTTATCTTTGAACTGTATGCATAAATCTCTGGAGCCATTCAGAAGCATTATTTCACTACGGTCATTGTTGCGCGCTCGGCGCCCGCCCCCTGGTGTTATTTGCAGTGGCCAATGAGGTTCGGTTTTATGAAAACTGCGACACAAGTCTTCGCCACCCTTGCTCCCCAAGATTTGCGCTCAGTTGCTGGGGTTATATGGCGCCGCCA